AAATGTCCATTTTCAACTTTATACTTCCCATTGAAAATCTACTCCACATCAGTACCAGATTTTTCTGTGATGGTTAGCTGCAAAGTTGTTTCTATTTCATCATATATTAATCACTGTTTGATGTTATCTAGTGAGTAAATCACCTCTTTTCCCACTAATGATGTGGGATATGTTTAAGTTTCTATCTACTAATAGGTAGTATATTTTCTTCCTTCCCTTCCTTCCTTTCTTTCTTCATTCTCTCTCTCTTTTTTTCCTTTTTTTCTTAGTAGTACTGTAAACATGACGTTTATTTAGACACGGCAGAATTAATAGGGCAGAGAATAGGCAAAGGGAGAATAGGACAAAAGACTTAAAATTTTGTGACTTTGGTTCATAGGTGGAAACTGTAACACAAAGCATTAATGAAAATATTGCATACTGGAACCCTTAAGCAGTTAGTTGGTTCTTAAATAATCAGACACTTTGGTAAATCTAAAAATTGTAACTAAAATTGTAACTGGGAGCTGTCCAGAACTTGTTTCAGAGATATGTATTTATGAAAGCTATCTTTCCAAATCACTCATGCTTTTAAATGTGAAAAGTATGGTGTATGGAAATATACTCTAAAAGATTGTCGTCGCATGACTGCAGCTTGGTATAAAATTCATTTTAAATACTATTTGTACCTGTGTTAATATTTATTTTAGATTGTTGTTTGATCTTTATAGTTTTCATTTCAAAGAATTCTTGTGTTAATGTCTTAAATCCATTGTAAAATGCCGTTCATCGATGTAGAGAGCGGAAAGGAGGAAAGAAATGGTAGCTGGCCTAAATTTGTCTGGAATACAGAAACCTTAGTAAACTTGAGATGTAGGTGGTGCGATAAGGTTATGCATAAAGAACACCAGTAAGGTATTATTCTGAAGGATGTCTTCACCTGAAATTGAGGGGAAAAAATCTCTTTTAGGGTTGTATACATCATTGTGGAAAAGGAGGGAGAAAACAAGAACCCCCCATTTCTCAGTTTTAAACGGTTGTCCCTTTAAGCAAAACAGTGTAAGTTTACTTATGCCAGAGGACTAAGAAGACACCAACAAATGAAACTGTACTTTATATTGCATATTAGGCATAAGTAACCTAATGGAAAGACACTATTATCTGTGGAAGTGTCTTTAAAAACGTCCTTCGGTACAAGGCTAGGGCAATACCAACAAGGAAGCAGCCAACTAAAGCAAAACAGGCATTCCCCAAACCTTGCCTGGTAGTCCTGTAAGTTCAATTCCTGTTTCCGGAGAACATTATTATATCGTCGTGAGAGAAAACAGCATGATATAATGGAAAGAATGTTGAACTAAAAGCCAAGGAGACATAGATTCTAGACCAGGCTTTGGGACTGACTAGCCGTGTGTCATCAAGCAAGTTATTTTCCCTGTTTTTCAATTTTCTACTTTGTAAAATGGGTTTTGAAAAATGAGATATCTCTAAAGTCCTTTCTCAGTCCTGAATCTGCCTTGAATGAGTTTAGGATATATGAAACCTGGCCTTACACTGAGAATGTCACATTCATTGAAACTTTTTCCATTTCATAAAGTGGTACAGTTTTTAATTTTTTATTAATTTATTTTGATTTATCAAGAATCACTTCTGTAGGCTTTTGAGTTTTAAATTTTTCTCTCCCTCTCCCCACCTCCCTACCCAAAACAGCGCACAATTTGATATAGTACAATTTCTTTTGAAACCTGTGTTACTGATTATTCACACCCTCTATCCTTGTTGCTATCATCTGTTTATCTCATTGTTTTCCTCTCTACGCTGTTCTTTACCATCCTCTTTGAGGATTTCATTATACGTGTTGACAGTCCCTATAACCTCAAATTCTTCTATAACTACAAATTCTTCAAACTATTCAATTATCTCCTTTTTCATTTTCATTTCAACCACATACCAACATGGTCATGTGTAGAACCATTTCACAGGTCAAGGTCCTGATTTTTAAAAATCTACTCACCAACTCCAGGTCTAAAAGTTAACTTCTAAAATAGAATTAGGGGGCAGCTTGGTGGCACAGTGGATAGAGCAGTGGCCCTGAAGTCAGGAGGACCTGAGTTCAAATCCGGTCTCACACCAAACACTTGACACTTACTAGCTGTGTGACCCTGGGCAAGTCACTTAACTCCAATTGCCTAAAAAGAAATAAAATAAAATAGACATAGAAATAGATGAGAACAATCAAAATGAATGTTTCTAGGATTCATTTACAAAATTTAATAAAATCTGTGAAGGGAAAGTACAGGCATGAGTAGTCTTGACAGTAAGTTTGCTTTTGAGGACCCCATAAAAAGTGAAGAGGAGAAACATAGGCTATTATTACCTGCCCAAGCCACTATATTGGCAAAAACTGCTTTGCAATCAGGCAAGGTATAAGCCAAACATTAAGAGTACCATTAACTACTGAACTCTTACGTTCTATGATCTAGCAAAGATATTCATTAATGAAGTGCTTTGGTGATTACTAGTCAAAGCCACAGAATGGAAGAAATATACATTAGATGTTATTTAGGCTAACATCCTTTCCCTCTGTTCATTTTACAGATGAAGAAAATAAAGCCACCTGAGGTACTCCTTGGCACAAGAAAACACAGCCATGTATAAATTTGTAAATTGTGATATTAATATCTTTTGAGTACATATAATTTTTTTCAAAACACATTCATTTATGTTATCACATTTAGTCATTATGAAAACCTTGTGAGGTAGGCAAGGCATGTATTACTCCCTTTTAGACCCAAGGAAATGGGCCCACCTTTATCTTCCCTAGTTCATACCTTTAGATGGAAGTTCTAAGACTGGAACCTCCAACAACTGCTCTTAAGGCAGCATTGGCAGTGTCAGAGACTCGATTCAGGGGTATTGACAATTACTAAAGAGACATTGTCATAAATTTTTATCTGTAACTGCACCTGTAGCTTGGAACCCCAAGAACCCCAAAGCCTTCAAGGTCTTTCTTCAAGCAGGCATCAGCATACTATGACAGAGTAGGTACTTGAAGGCCATTAGGCCTTGGGCAAAATTTGAATAGATGAAGTTTATCTTTGGTACTCCTTCATCTTTCTGTTACCCACTTTGCCTGAGTTTCCCTTTTCTTCTTGACTCCCAAAGGAGTAGCTTTGTTACCTTGTTTCTGAAAGGTTACTATCCCATTTTCTAGTTTGTTTTTACTATAAACTCAGGAGATATGTATAGGAGAGTGAAGACAACACTCTTGATGAATAAAATTAAAAATATAGTAAAATGCAAATGATGCTAAATCTAAGGGCTTCTTTTTCATTCATCACATTTAGCTAGAAAAGGCACACTATATGGTTCTTTCTTATGGATAGGGAAGGCAGCCAGAGCTCAATTTTATTTATTATTAAAGAACTTTAGGTTTAATTTGATCTTTACAATAACCTTTGAGGAATGTATTACAAGTCTAATTGTTCCCATTTTACAGGTATGAAAACCACAGCTCAAAAAAGTTAAGTAATTTGCCAGAAGTCACCTGTAACAGAGGTGGGTTAGGATCAGAACTTTGTATCCTGGAGCCACTATGCTTTTTATCAAATTTAGAAGCTTGAGTTTCTTTTAAAGCAATCAATCAGTGGTCACAGATTTTAGTAGGAAGAAGAAGGCTATAGGAGAACTTAATGAATCTAAATTAAGTCATGGTTGAAACTTTGACTTTCAAAAACTTTTTGTATCTCACAAGTAGTAAAATGATTTTTACAAAAGAAATATACAGAATCAACCTAACAAAACACTCTTAAGGCTTATATAAATATAATTACAAAATATTCTTTAAAGAAATAATGACTCATAATTAGGATATTTATCAGTCATGGTTGGCCATGATCAGTTGAGCGCCTAGGTTTTGCCCATTTCCCAAAATCAGTTTAAAATAAATAGACAGCATGAATATAAATGAATAAATACCATAAAAAAAAGAAGACAATAACCAAATTAGGGACCTTTCACAGCTATTGCTGGAGGAGTATACTTAGCCAGAGGAGGAATAGAAGTTAAAAGGGATGATTCCTTGTGTTATAGTGGGAGAAGGATGTATCTGGAGCTGGGGAGGGGAGAGGGGGAAGGTGATATAAAAACAAAAGACATCAATTTAAAATGATTTGAAGGTAAAAAGAAAAAAAATACATGAAAATAGAAAATACTCAGCATTTAGCTTAATGAAATTGAAAGTATATTTCATTCAAGGTTTGCTTGGTAAAGTAGCCTCTTCATAGTTAGGCATAAAGGAAGAATTAAATATTCAGTTATAATGTACTAGTCTTGTTGTTGTTGTTTTTTTTTTAAGGCAATTGGGGTTAAGTGACTTGCCCATGGTCACACAGCTAGTAAGTGTCAAGTGTTTGGTCTGAGGCTGGATTTGAACTCAGGTTCTCCTGACTTCAGGGCCGGTGCTCTATCCACTGTGCCACCTAGCTGCCCCTACTAGTTCTTGTCAAGAGAGAGAATACATGTTGAATAATTCAGGTACCTCCAAAGTAGCTAATATTAAATTTAAAGTGTTATTTTTTAAAGTATCATACTCATCAGTATAATTCCACTGGAGAGGCATTATGATATACTGGGGAAAAACAAAACAAAACTGGACTTTAGGTCAAAGGAATTGGGATTCAATGCTAGTAGCTCTAATACCTTGCTATTTGTGTGACCTTGGATATAGTACTTAGCTCTTTAGACTTTTTGATGCCTTATCTGAAGAATGAAATTGTTGGATTATGTTAGCTTCGTTTTCCCATCCAGCTCTAAATCTTATGAATTAAATATATGCCCCTTGAAGAATTTTATATTTTCCACCCTTAAAAAGCTCATTATACTTTTAAATTGAATTTTCATTTGGACTTAATACAGTCATCTGCCCTCTACAAATAACCTGTTAATTACATTATAACATCAGTAAATCTAATTGTACAATTTACATTTTTTTCCTATTTATGACATTAGTTGTTTTTTCTCAGATAAGTCAGATAAATATGATTCACGAGATGTGGAAAAACTACAGCAGGATGATACTTGGGTTGAAAGTTTTTTGTGTTGGCGGCATGATGTGGTAGATGAAACACTGAAGATGATTGATGAAAGTTTGCAGTGGAGGAAAGAATTTGCTGTCAATGGTAAGCTTATTCAGATGTAATTATGTTGATAATATATTGATGTTTTATATTTATTTAGCATATTTGCAAATGTTCCTTGTGTTTGTTATAGAAAGTATAATATAAATATAAATTTCTCATTTAGACCTGGGAAAATTTTATGTAAGATATCTTAGTGGTGCCAAGAATAATAAATTGCCTAGAACGAAGCTATGAGTATTTTTAAACTTGAAAACATAAGCAAGCTTTCATTAGGTTCTCCAGCAGGCTGAAGTAAAGACATTTTATGGTTAAGGTGGTTAAAAAAAGGAAAGAGTTTGATCTGCAACTAAGAGTATCTGAATCAAAGAAGGATCATAAATAAGGGAAATACCATTATCCGTAAGCTGAATCAGGTAAAAGAAAATGTTTGCCTTATTTCTAATAATATAGCAAAAGTTATGCAAAGAAAGGCAAAATGAAATGGTTGGCTTCTATTCCTGTTGCTGATGACATACTTAAAAAAAAAAAAAATGACTGTGGACCTGATGGCCACAGCAGAAGGGAAGGAAGGACATTTTCCTTTCTTTAGGGTTTGAGTAGTAGGAGACTTATGATCTGAGAGTTCTGGGACATAAGTAGAGGGTCATCAACTAAATAGAAACAGCCCTTCTAGCTCTTTCACACATGTATGTAGCCCCTAGTTTCTTTAAAACCTTTTTCCCCTTTGCTTCTTCATCTTAGTTTCCATAGCTGCTCTGGGTGTCTAGATGAAGATGTGCTCTGAAGATTTTTACACAGAAACATTGCAAATGCTGGTTAGGTTTCCAGGTGTGGTAGGAGTAGTATCCTAACCCCGCATCCCAATAAAATTAGAGTAGTTTTTCCATAAAAGATAGTAAGAGCATTCTTAACACTTGGTTGGCCTAAACTACTGATCTCACTTCCTTGTCACCTGAGTATAAAACAACCACTAGAAGCTCCAGGCCAGCACTCTGTGTGTCTGGTCCCCTCAAACAAGGGAGCATCACTTAACTGAATCAACTCAAAGTGTCTTCATTGACTTTTTAAAAAAATGATATCTTTTTCATATCTAGCATGTTTTAAGTGTAGTCCTAACAATAGGACTAGATAAACTTGTACTCTGCCAACTGGAGAACTGTAGAAATTGGGTTTTCTGTTATTTTCCCATTAGGTCTTTAGTCTAAAGCTAGACTAGTAATCACAGTTTACTTGGAAAGTAAAGTGTCAATTTACTTGGAAAGTAAAGTGTCAATTTACTTGGAAAGTAAAGTGTCAATTTACTTGGAAAG